TTTTAGATATAAGGAACCAATCACCTATTTTTGCGAATGATCAATGTATTTTTTTACACGACTTTTTCTGGAACCAATCTACCGTGTAAAAACAGAATTAGGTGTATATTTTACCCTTTGATAGAAAAATTTATATTTCGCGTCTGCATGCTTTCTTTTTTGAAACTGGTATATTTTCAATGAACAATTTAAATTTGTGCTTTCGATTGTGATATTGGAAAGGTTGGAAGTATTTTGATAAAGAAAACGACTGCCTAAAGTTAGTCCTAAAAGGTTAATGGAGATGGTAGAACGTAACCCGTTGCTTTATTTGTGATTTTAATGTCTCACATTTCTTTAAAATACGACTTATTGCTACGTAAGACCTCAGATGTAGATGGAATGATGTCAACAGCATTGCCCTTAACTTATATACTCAACTATCTCGGTTATCTCCTCTAATGTGTCTACAAAACAAATCTGCTTCCCTTAAAAAGCCGTCTTCGTATTCTTCATTAGAGGATGTCAATTCTTTTTTAGGAAATGTTGCTTCACCCTTCTGGGAAAAAACAATAACAAGATATCGACAACGATCTTGATCTTGATATACCTCATGATTTCAATACACATTTATTTATTAACATTAACTTTTTAAAAACTTAATACAATAAACACTTCCTAATTAATTTCTTTTAGTCATCAGCAACCTATTGGCACATTCCTCAATATAGTAAGCCAAACTCTGTGCTAACCTACAGCCAATTGGATGATCAAACAATACCAAAACTTTCCGGAGTTTCAGCATGAGAATGAAATAAATATGAAATATTCTGGCAGGTGTGTCCAGCAAACGAGGAATTAAATTCGTTTAAGTGCTTTACGAATAATTTAAAATTAGTATTTTTGATTGAAGAACTATCTCAAAACCCTAGTTGCCAAAGAACCAAAGGGCTTTTAATTAATCAATGCTCACCGTATCATTATGCATATTTAACAGCACAAACATACAAATACATATCTAGGCCAACACATCAGTTGATTATTTTGAAAATGCTAAGCCTTGCACAAGGATGCACTGCATAGTTGTATACTGCCTAAGACACAAACACAAACCCACACATACACTGACGAAAGAGCCACACCCATAATGGACGTAAAGCAAATGAGACACTGCAAATGTATAGTATATTATTTATGTTGTAGTCTATGTATTGTTGTTGGTTGCGTATGTGTGCTGTTGTTATTGTTGCTGCTAATGTTTCCTGCCTTTGGCATTGTCGAAGGCGTTAAGTATGAAAATTAAGATGCAACAGAATTTCCATTTAATTTCATTTTGTATTTTAATGTGAAACGAATTTCGACACGTTTGCCTGCAATCCTGGACACGTTAAGCAATAAACTATTCATTTAGAAACACTTATACTCTAGGCCATATTTGTAAATGGACCTTAAGGTTACGAACTGCATCACCTGCAGGAATATCGAGTGAAATCGGAAATCAAAACAGCAGACATTTAGCAAAAAGATAAATAATAATAAATGTATGTGTGTATGAAACATTGACGAGAAAAATATCAATCATATCAAAATATTAATGATCCTTTTGAGATAGTATGTTCTCGTATACATATTTGCAACTTGTTAAAGAGGTAATCATCGTCAAAAAATGATAAGAATGCTAATAGTCCTTGTTTTTATATATATATTTTTTTTATCAAAGAACAAAGCTGTCGATGTAAAAAATCAGTATACTATAGTAGAGTATAATATAAAAGCTTTTAAAAACTACAATAATATCTAACAACGAATCCGACCCGAGGGGGGAATTTTTTTTGGCAACTAGCCATCTACTTGTATTCCCCAGTTCCCAGCACAGAGACGATTCAGAGACGATATTAGACATAACAAAAAGAAAAACAGACAAAGATAAGTTAAATAATAATTTAAAAATAGACTTTCTCAATAAAAACAAACTAACATTTAATTAAGATACCTAAATAATATGCAATGCAAATAAGATTTAACAATACTTAAGTACCTTTTTTCTTATAATTTATCCTAAACAAAGTTTAAAAAGTAGTTAATCTGTATAAATGGAAGTAACTGGGACAGTATCAGAACAAGTATAAGCAACCGACTATGGGGGTCATTAGGGAACTTCTATAACTTTCGTAGTTCATGGAATTAACACATCACGCTTCAACGTGATAGCTGCAATTGTTATTGTTGTTTAAACTATACACACAAATACGTTGCATAATTATTATAAATAAATATTATATACATTATTATATTATATTTCGTACCGATATTTGCCTTGTTTATGATAGTGAAGATTAAAGTTCAATTCCAAATGGAAAAGTTCGTCAACATAATTAATAATAATTAATAATATATGATAGAGCAATAATCTTTGAGTCAATTATCAATCAGTCTCTAATATTAGCCTGCATTTTCCCCACTTATTAAAAGCCTTTTCAAATATTTTATTGTGTTATTGATTTGGCTTTCTTAGCTTTAAAGTTAAATTAAACAACAAAAAAGATGATAAAAATAATAATATACCTTTTATATATTATATATTTTAAGTCTTAAGAGAGGGGCAAGTCAAACGGTTAAACAGCCTTACCAAAAGGTTTGAATATTTGGAACCATTATTTGAATTACTTCAGCCTTTAAGGGCAGTCTTTAAAATGCTGATAAGGTACAATTTTCACTAAAACTTGGTGTAATGTTTTGGCATTGTATTCAATTGTCGTGCACATGCAACAAGACGGCAGAAGGCAGAATCGTTTCATTGTGGCTCGCTTATTATTTCTGCTACTCTGGTTGGAGCTGCTGGGGGCTGGTTGCTCTGGAAACATTAGCCAACAATCTGGGTAGCAAAGCTCTATACAGCAGCAACATGCAAATCCTTTCTTTCATTTAATTGACGGTTTCAAATTGTAAAAGGACTGCTTCTTGTTGTTGCTGCTGATACTGTTGTTCTGGCTATCTTGCCCTTTGTTTTAGTAGCCGCAACCACAAAGCTTCAGCGCAACACTTGCCAACTAAACTGTTTACCTTTTGTTGCCTGAACTGAAGACGACCTGAAACAGCACAACGACAACAATTACCCTGCTCTGTACACGCTATTGCCTCTCTTCTTTATCAGCTATATTATATGTACATATGTATGTATGTATAAGTATGTATTCAGCCATTGCTTTTTCTTCTATTATGCGGTCATCTCATGAGTTTGCTCAGCTGGAGGCATGCGTCTTTGGCGCCCACAAAAGCCGCAAGGTATACAGCTGTTTAATAGTGTTAGCTGTTGTACCGCTCTGACAGCTCATTACATAATCACCGTTACCTACCCCCCCACCCCCCACCCACCCCCATAACAAACCTTTCATATTTACTCCTCAAACACACAAACACATGGTCAGCAGCACATTTGTATTTGTGTAGAGTAATTTTCAGTTCAATTACCTCGCTAATAATACATACATAAGCAGTTCTCTCCTATCTACAGTAGTCGACGAAAGTATTTTGACTTGAAATATCAGTTTTCTTGTCTTCCATTTGGTTTATACTATATGTATATTAATTGTTGGCCAATAAAACTCAGATTCGTGGATATATATGTAGTTTTATTAAGCAAACAGTTATCACTTATATTTGACCGATCGATCTATATTCATATCTTTGTCATAATATAGACATCGTAAATTAAAAATAACTTGATCTGCTTAGCCGACACAATTTGCTGTTTGAAGAGCCTACAATTTCATACATGTGTACGAACAAACACGCAAACAAGACACAGCTCTTCAAATTGATCAATATACTGTCTGTAACTTGGTAAGTGCCATTATTTTCGTGGTCCTATTAACTAGCAATATCCGCCATTAAGCAAAAATCTAAAAGAAAGACAATACATTTTCTTAATTTCCAAATTCTCTTGATTTAGCTCTTCAGAAATTCATCAAAAAGTTAAAATAAAATGTTCTTCAAATAAGAATCATTTTGTAAAGATATTCATTTGTTATAAATATTAAGGCAGTTTAATAAATACAAAAACAATGGTTTTTCGAAATACTTACATAACCACTTATATGACTACCATTTCAATGAACTAATGCATGTTTAATATTTTAGGTCAGCTCAGAAAACGGTTTTGGGTTCTAAGGACATCGTTTATTATTTCAACAATTGGTTTTAGAACCATACTTTTTTAATATCCACGAAAATTACGCGTCCAATTCGAAGCTCTACGGATTTGGCATATACGGGCAAACTTTCAGAACGGTTTCCTCCGGAATTCTATCTCCTTTTGACAACTTCCTTTTATATTTCAGATCTTCACGGTACTTTTTTTACTTCATAATCAAGAATGCATTCACGCACAGTCCAATTCTACGTAATTGACCGATAAAGACTAACTTTCCAAACGGTTTCCTCTGGAATTCTATCTCCTTTCGCCAACTGCCTTTTATATTTCCCTCCCCACTTCTTTAGCACTAACTAAACTTTATTAAAATGTAAAATTGCTCGTAAAGCTGTCTGTTTGATATGTCGGAATATGTTTGCTAACTAGTGTATGTTTCCATGTCACCACCCACAGAGCCGGGGAAGGCAAAGGGACTTAAACCACACTAGAATTCCGGCAAGTCGTCATGTAACATGAATTCGTTAATTATTTTGACAGCTACAACGTTGATGACGACTGGAACAAGGATGGGAGACGACTTCCATTGCATGCTCGAGGCTGGCCACATGAAACTTGTATGAGGCGCCCAATCCTACAAACGTAATTTGTGTGACAGCCATTTTGGCAAGTCACTGATTATGCCATCAAAATAGACATGCCAAATTGGGGCAGACAACTTTTGGGCTTCGGCTGTCCACCATGGTGATGATGATGCCAACGAAGACTCCTACACATCATAATGATGAGTCAATGGAGAAGCCGAACCACATAACAATAACAAATAAATAAAAAAAATGCCGCCCAGCTAAAATTAGTATGCACAATCAACTTGATTATTTATTGCCTCTGGCTATATTACGCGTAAGTATACATAAATAAATATACGAGTATGAAAAATATTACTTGCTAAGCAGCAACTGTTGAAGCAGCAAACTCAGGACGAGAGCACACAAGAACAGCGTCAACAGAAGCCGCCTGCGCCACCAACACTAGATGAGAGCCGCTGCCTGCTTGCCACTATCAAAATCACGCCTGACTGCACTCCAATTGGGTGCCGCATGATCCTTGAGCAGCGTCCAGTTCGGTGAGTGTACATCAGGTGAAAGCCAATTGAAGTCGGCGACATCTGTGTAATTGTTTTGTGCCTTGTCTAGACCAGCACGCGCATAATCCGCCTCCAATTCCCCATAATCATAATTATATTCGGCAATTTCAATCTGCCGGCAGTCCTCAATAATGGCGCGGCAGGTGACATGCAAATAAATACGCGTTTGAAGTGAGGAATGCAGACGTAACTGTTGGCAAGCAATGGCCACTGTGCACAGTTCCAGATGCTCAGCAAAAAAGGAACGAGACACAGGCCCACAGAGAAACGTGCAATTACTTGCTTTGGTGACCTGTACAGATCCCGCGTGACCCTGCAGCTCAACCAGACAATTGCGTAAATTGGAAATGGTTATATCCTGACCATTGACCTCCTCGCCACTAAGCACAATATGCGCATTACTCTGATTAGATATAGTCCAGCTGAAAGCGTCCATTTTGGCCTGCGTTCGCTCAGCCGCATCCAATTTGTCAGCAGCAACGACAAGTTTCGGCTTCTGGGTCACCTTCTTGCTGCTAAAGCCAAACTTTTTCTTTGGCATGAGACGGTGACGCACTTCTTCGCTGCTGCTGGTCAGTGTATTGACAATATTTTGGCAGGATTTGATCTTGAAGTCCGTGAGAAACATTGTTGAGGCGGTCAAATAACGCTGCAGTTCCTGTATCTCCAATGTTATGTTAGCAAAGTGCTTGCTGAGATCGGGTGGCGGAGCATCGCCACTATTCAACTGAATGTTCTTGATGCGCTGCTCTATGTCGAAGGCGCGCTGTCTAAATGACTGCGCAAAATAATCTACGCCCTCGTCTTGGGCGCACTCCTTGCTGCGCTGCTCCAGTTTTACATCCAAATAGTTTTGACGCTCTTTGTTGCGTTTATTCAGCTTTTCCAGCAACAGATGATCCTTGCGTACACCTGCATCTTGCCGAATTCCCACATCCACGGTGTCTTCACTTAGCTTGGAGTTTTCCATTGAGAAGTTAATTTTATGTGTCTTTTTATGAAATGCCCGTCTAAAATGTTGAATAAATTGGGAAAAATCAATTGATTTCACATTAATTATGACGTCTAACAATTCATATGGCCAATAGTGTCTGAGCCACAAACAACGCCCTCGTGCGGGCGCAGCTGCGTCATTGTAAACAAAGTGTTGTTCCACTGGACCCAGTAACGGGACATTGCGGCTGTTACAACAAAGGGCACACTTTAAAGTCTACTTACCTTAACTTATAGTTAATGGCAGCAGCTGCTGCTGTAATTAACAACGACAATCCAAACTACACCAGTTCTTCTTACTTATCGAATTTTCTAAAATGCTCCTCCAATTTCAACAAATTTTGTTGGCTTAGCTCGCAGCGCTGCCAGATCAGGCAATAAAGTCAATGGGCAGCTCATAAAACTGTCTGCTAGAAGTTGGTAGCACTTATGTGTCGAGACTGGTAGCACTTTAAAACAGCTAACTGTCATAGGAAGAAGAAGAATACAGTATGTTTAATAAGACAGTGTACACCATATTAACAGGTGTTTTGCAATAAATGAATAAATTTGCTAAGCATTTTGACTGTGTTCCTCTGTTCTTATGCAAAAGTTCAAAAATTACAAATTACAGCTGCAAAATGTGGTAAAAAGTCGGTGAGTTTTGTTCAGAAGTGAGCGTTTGAAAGAGACATAAAACGTTTATGACCATAGGAAAACTGAAAAGATGAAAAGCTAATATTGGGCATATGTATTTTCAAGGAATTTTTTCTTATCCTTTATAGTTTATAAATAGCATTGTGAGGATTATAATACGATACAAAATATTGTCAATATCAACTTAGCTTAGTTTCCTATTTTTATAAATTGAGGGATTTTCTGAAATAATTTCCGTACATTGTATTAAGAGCGTTACTGTCGCACATAAGAACTAGAATTCAATTCGAAATTTATGCCTTTTTCACAATCCGAAGTTGAGTAATGTAAATGATCTTAGTGAGAGAGCAGACTTGATTAAAAAAGGCCGAGTTTGCCAATTTATTCGTTGGGCCAACTTCTTTGCCGAAAAGCATGCTTCGCAGATGCCAAGCGCCTATTAGCTCTAGGGGCGACTGGACTCCATATAAATACGATTGCGTAATGCTTTGAAGAATATTTTTGAAGATTATGTTTAGAAACAACTTTCATTCAGAACAAGAGCGCCCCTCATTCAAATAAAAACAATGCAGAAAACTTATAGACATATTTTTATACCCTGTACCCGTAGGGTAAAAAGGGTATATTAGGTTTGTGCAAAGTATGTAACATACAGAAGGAAGCATCTCCGACCCCATAAAGTATATATATTCTGAATCAGCATGACGAGAGAAATCGATCTAGACATGTCCGTCCGTCCGTCCGTCTGTCCGTCTGTCCGTCTGGATGAACGCGAGGATCTCAGAAACTATAAAAGCTAGAATAACCAAAGTTGGCATCCAGATTCTCCTAGGTCCGAGAAAGGACGAGTTTATTTTATTTTTTTGAATTTTTCCCCCCTTCCCCCGCTACAGAATTTCGTCAATAGCGTCCACATTTCAAATGCTACCTAAACCAAACTTTGCACACATAATTTCTATATAATTGTCTACTGTTGTTCAATTTTTTATTCTATTCGGTCAATTCTAAGAAAAGTTATTAGCGAAACAAATTCTCGCCAGTACAACCCCCCCAAACTGCAGCAACAAGTTCGCTCTTCTTCTTCCTCTTTTTGCTGCTTTGGGCGCATATAACTCAGTGGCGGAAGTTTACCTGGGTACAGGGTATTACACTGTCGGGCTTGCTCGACTGTAGCGTTCTCTCTTGTTAATAAAGCGGTCAGTATAGTGGATTGCTTGTGTCGGCTTACAATAAAAGATAGAACATATTTACAATTATTTAAATGGTTATACATAACATAAGATATAGTATAAAGATATATTCAAGTGTGCTTGATTGTGTGCTTAATATGCAATAGACAGAATAAAATGCATACATACTTCATCTAATCCTTTGTATGTTTCTTTGTTTTTCTTTAGCAACTTTCAACACTTAATTGCTAAAATTATTAAATACAAATTGATTTCCTCTTTAACTTTTTTGGTTGTAGTTTCCATATTTGTGAAGTTATTTGCGTTTCTTTGTTTGTTAAGGCACGTAACACATTCCTGAATACGATGTGCGTTTTAAACTAGCATTAAAAATGTATAACTATGAATGTATGTATATCTATGGTATAGATTTCGCTTAATAGTTGGCTATTTATCATTGTTTATGGGCGTGCAATACGTTTCGAGTGTATGTGTGTGTTTTGTAGAATATTATTGCGCTGCTCGCCTTGGAGAATCTAATCATCTTAGTCTACGCTACATACATATGTACATATACTCGTATGTATATATGTTTATGCAAGTATCTGCACCAGTACCAAAATTATAATGCATATGACCAGCAAATGATTAAAATCGTGTGCCACTGCGCACCAACGAGAAACCAATGGATCAATGGACAAGACTTCAACTTCACTTGCGTACTATTTTCGGAATATTGCTGCAAAGTCGAATGCTTTCGACTTTGGCTTCTTATATAGATCATGAGAGCTCCCCAATCGGTGCATTCTGCAGCCACAGATCGTGAATGAAATTATACAAATTATCGCTGACGGCAACCTGGAGAAGAAATTTAGAGCATACGTTTATTAATATACCCATAAATCGTGTTTTAGATTAATGTTAAATGTTCCCACCTTATACGGCGTTGGATTCAGCGTACGCTTGTGATCGTTCCTCAGTGTTTTTAGCGAGATTTGCACCTTCTCGCGTACCTGCTCGAGTGTGGGCAGCTGTTGGCATATTTTGCCGGATTTCCAGTACACCTTATAGAGGGACTCAACATGCGAGGGAATGACGTAGGCGCGCTTTGACTCCTGGAAGGGGTGCCTGCATAGCACTTTCTGTCCCACAGCCGGTGGTGGCTCCGAAACCTTTTGCAGCAGATCGATTAGAGCATGACCATCGGCACTATATAGACGATATGCATTCTTATTGCCCGGCATGGTAACCTTTTCCACATCCTGACTCAGTTTAATGCGTGCCTGGCCATTTATCTCCACCAGCTTATAGACACAACCCAAGGCGGGCTGGCGCTGACAGGTGACTGGAAAAATAAAGATGATATAATATAATTTACGAATTTACTGAAGCATCCGGCATCCGGCATCCGACTTACCCAAATGCGTTCCAATGCCGAAACAGTCGATTTTGTGTCCCTGCTCATTCAGACTAAGTATGGTGTCCTCGTTGATATCATTGGATGCCACAATGGTCAGTTTATTGAACCATGGAACCTTGAAGCGCTCAGCCACCTTCTCGAAGGTCTCCCGAGCCAGACACGACAAGTAGGCCAAATCTCCAGAGTCAATGCGAATGCCCAAAGCATAATAACCCAGATCATTGAGCGCCAGGGCCACTGCGCTAAAGTTGAGCAGCCCGCTCCTGAGGGTTGGCAAAGGGAGAATGGACGAGAGCAGAGCAAAGTGTGGGTGCGTTAAAGAGTGTGAAGATCATAAAATGCTGCTGGATTTGGGTTTTCAAGTCGTGCCATTAAAGGTCAAAGCGCAAGGGGAAGGGCTGGTTGTGGCTGGGTAAGTGGGCGTGACTAGCGCTGGTAAAGCCTTGGGTGCTCAGCTAGTGCCGATTAAGTTGCAATCTGAATGCACCAGTTTATCAAGTGCTTTACTAAATTTAAGAAAGGTGTCTACAGTAAAGTAGTTTATGTAAGTCCCTTGGGAGCTGAGCGGGAGCATAGGCTTAGCGTTCGGAGATATAGGAATGAAGCTTCAATTACCAAAGCCATGCAGTGTGCTCTCTCGGACGCTTTGTTTAAACTATTTACAAATACAAGTACAAAATCAAATAACGTTACAAATATCATACGAAAATATACGGCTATGTATGTATGTACGAGTATACGAGAATAAATAAATTAATGAACCAAGGTCAGATAATGTAATTATTTTGTACCTTATATGGAGGGAATTGGAAATAGATGTGCAATTTAATTGAAAATAATTGGACGTAAGCACAAACATTTAAGAAATATAAGAGAAATTATGGCCACTTTTTAAATTAGTCAAGACGCAGACATTTGGAAAATAGGAAACGTAACGTTTAGGTCCAGAATTCATGAGTATTATGGCGATTCAATGTGATTTGAATTTATGGTACTCGCTTTTTATTTGTTGTCATAACGTTTAATGTGGTAGTTGCTGCTGTTGTTGTTGTTGTAAGTTAGATGCATGTTTAAAAAAAAACAGGTTCATTTGTGTTTTTTGTTTGTATGTATATGTATATTGTTTTGAAGACGTGTGTTTTACATACCTCTGCCAAAATAGTGCCGGGAAGTCATTTTTATAATGTTAGATGGGAATTTCTTTTTCTTTATTTGGTTTATTTGTTATGGTTTGAAGTTTCCGATTGTTTCTGATTTGTTATTATAAATGTTTTGTTTCATTCACATTCACGACGAAAGCGAAAAATAAAATTGTTAATACAAATAAAAAATAAACACAAATTCACAATAAAGCTGACGAAACTACCGATGGCATTAAATTTGAATACTATTAGTAATTAATTTGGAGTTAGACAACCTATTTATGCTATCAATAATGCTATCGAAAGTTTTTTCGGCTCTAATTTTAAAATTGGTAACCAATAATATATGAGATGATTGAGCAAGCTTCAAATCATTAAGCGATTTGTTAGTAAAGATGAGATTTCAATGTTGACGCCCAAAATCCACCCAATAATAAATAAAAATAAAACAAACATAATGTAGAATATTACATTTTTAAAGCACATCACCTGGTAGCATAGTTTTGGGCACCGATGCCTGGGTTCTTGACCAATAACAATAACGATACGAATTATATAATTTTATATGCATTGAAGATATTTCTGCAAGATCGTAAGCCGTTTTAAAGATTCTTCATTAATTGATTGAGCAGGCATAGCAGTTAACGATTTTGCAGGAATACCCACAATATAAGAACATATATACATTAGTTGTTTAAATTTAGGAGAATAAATTTTGATAGAACATCACAAAGCGGGCACAAAACCAAATGAGCATGAGTTGAGGTTCTCGAGGTCGCTATAACTCATGATTCGTATGACTAGTATGCGGTGACATGCAAACCCAAATATTTGAAAACAAAGGACATTAAAAATATCGCAGTGGATTAGTAGGCGATCGAAAGAAGAACACATATTTTAATTTCAGAATGAATGAATGATATCGAAAATGTTGTGAATCAGAGCTCGATTTGAAGTAAATGGGTCCAGTATGTACATAAGTATGTATGTAGTATTATTCCCTCTTTACTTTCTTGTTTTACATGACATTTACCTGAATGACTTCTCGACATATTTTGGTAGGTACGCTGTCCCTTTGGACGAGGTGCTTGTCTTGCTGTTTGTAGCTGTTGTTTGTGGGGTCGTATCTGTTGTTATAGACGCAGGCATTGGGGCTTGACTCACAGATGCCTGCGGGCAGTGGCCATTCCCTGTGCTGATGGGGTCTACTAGACCATTTGATTTCTTTCCATTGCTTGTCACTTTAGTGCCGTTGGGCAGTTTGTAGCCATTTGTGGGCGTGGCATTTGTTTGAATTTGTCTTGATTTGGTTTCAGTTTGTACGGTTGGGTCTTGTGTGACTTCTAATGTTTCTCGGCTGTAGGAAATACTTTCGTTATTAGCTCGAAAATTAAACGGAACAAAGCGAAAAAATCTTAAAACTGAAAAAATAACACAGCGACAGACACACACACACACACACATAAACAATAGGCGGGAAGGGGATCTGGAAGTTGTCCAAACGAGATACAAACGTTCAGGGTACTGTAGCTGCTTTCATTACTGGGTTACGCAAGAGTGCACTCTGTCAATACGCGAAATACTTAGGATAAGAGAGTTACATAAATCACAAAACTGAACAACGAACCCAACACAAGAACAAGGTAATGAGAACGAAAAATCGAACTGTAAATCAATTCAAACTCAAAACCAAAACTGTTCCGAGAGAATCTGCCTAAAAGCGAAATACCTCTTAACATCGTACGTGTCGACAAGCGCCATGAACCCATCCGGAAAGGCAATTGCATACGAGACCATGGCCGCTAATTCTCCCTCGCTAGACTCCTCCGTCGAAACGTCCAGTAGATGGGACAACAGTTGACGATGGCGTATGGCATGCTCCAGCAGATCCTCAGTAATGCCTGTAACAATAATAAAGTGTGTGGATGCCTATAAATACTTCCCATATTTTATATGAATTATGGCTTATATACTCTCATACCTAATATAAATAGATCAGGCCTAGCTTATATGGTATAGATCTATAAATATCACATGAGTTATGGCCTATATACTCGCATATCTAATTAATTTAATTAATTATATTAAATAGATCAGACCTGGCTTATATGGTACAGCAGTTTTAATATAACATAAATATCTAAATAAATCTTCTGTTATAGCAAATATATTCCAATAATATAGTATGCACATGAATCGTCAACAAATTAAGTAAATAAACTGTATTTTCTTAAAAAATTGAAATTTGAAATAAATAAATAATCTAATTACTTATTAATATGTAATTGAATGGTAAACATTTTTCACCAAGTTCAAAAATTACTTTTATTATGGAAAATAATTAGCACAATTCTTAGCCCGATTGATTTATTTCTTTAATTTTTTTTAGATTAAAATATGGATATGAGAATAGTACTTATAGCAATTGACTATTAAATTATCTAATCAATGAATATCAAGCTAAAATTCGAATCCAACTCTGATAGGGATAGTTGGAACAAGATAGCGGATATCTTTCAGAGTTTTCCTTCAGACGCTGCAAGTCAAAAGCTTGATCTAATCTTACTTGTTTCAAAATGTTAAAATCCGTTCTATTTAGATAAATATTAGATATTTTGTCATTTTAGTGCTTTTTTGAGAGGAACTTTCCTCAACAACTTTGAAAAATTCAGCTTCAAAAAGAAAACTTATCCCTGAAGTAATGCATTATATTTCCCATTTATGGTTATTAATATTTGTATATCATGTTTATTATTTAAAAGATTGCAGAAAAGCACAAGTTTGTACAAATTGTTGAAATATCTGCCCATAGCATTAATATAACTTATATTATCGACAAGTATCTCATTTATCTTCATAATTTGTGGTCTACTTCACGACACAGTGAGATATTAACCCTGAGTTCTCAGTCTACATGAACATTTGCTTTTGCTATTAATCGCAGAAAACATAAATTACAAGCCCACAATTCTATTAACGAGTTTAGTTTAATATCATAACTACTTTTATAAGGAGCAGTATCCTAAAGCTAGTTTTGTACAGAACATAGTATATTTTTTGACTCACCCGTCTGCTTGTGCTTCAGCAATCGCGTCTTAAGCTCGCCCACACTGCTGAACGAGGTGATGTAGGCATGCGCATGCGTGCCCTTTACGGGTATGTTGAAGAGCTTGCCTGCCAAAACATTCGAAGTGCCATCAAAGCCGCCTGCAAAATGGAACGGAAAGTGTTCATTTTATAGAAATTAAGCTGTTCGACAAAAGTGTCTATCAAAAAATGGCATAATCGCAAGAGCCTTGAAAGCAGCTGGACGTGAGACACGCGCACGCGAACCTATCGATTAAGGAGGCAACTCGAAATGGGTAAAACCCGTAAATTAACGCATTAAAAACTTTCAACGCTAAAATTTTTACTAGCACTCTGACGTGATGCGAGAAGTATGACAAAGGCGACGACTACAGCGATGCCGATGGCGATGGCGATGGCGAAGCGGAAACGGAAGCACCCAAACAAAGTTACGATGTGCGAGCGCCAATTGAAAGCCGGTGCCAGGCACCAACTGGTACGGAGGCACATCAGAGCTCCTCCACATACATGGACACATTATCGCCATACATAGCAGCACCACCCACTGAGTGGGCGAACGTGTCGACGCGCTGTGCGTGCACCACTTTCCGGAGCATTTCGTTTAACACAAAAAGAAAAACAGTTGAGGCAATGCAAGGCAAAGCAAAAGTCCAACATTTGATAAATGAGTTCTTGAACTTTGCTGCCGACCGTATAACTAGGCAGGGGAATCACCTACCTGCGGCTCCCACCCACATTTATCGCACTGACAGTGACACGGAGACGGACACGGACACGGACACGTGCTTTGCATGCAAACACATCATAAAAACAGCCAAGAATTGCACAAATAATAATATATGAAATACATGTAGGAGCGCGCTTGGCACGGCGTCAAATCAATGAGGCAGTAGCAGCAGCCAGACCAGGCCATGTCTAGCTATAACTACATATATCCGTAGGTGATAGGTTCACGGCGCTTTCTCTTCTTTTTTAATTGATAATGAGCCGTGCGCATGCAACGCGGCAAGCTCGCAATTTGGCAATGCCAAAGAAAAGACACAGTTGACCTTAGTTGTCACTGCAAATGGGCGAAACTGACAGGCTGGCAGGAGGGTGAAAGTTTGTACCTGTGTAGGAATACTTTGATGCCGAGAGTCCGCCGTCGGGTCCCTGTGCACGACGCAATCCAAATTCCAATAGCTTTACATGTTTTCCAGCTACCATGCGATAACGTGCTGCATTCGTCGCCATTAAACTGAAAAAGATTAAAGTGTTACTAAGTGGAGATTTGTAGGACGAGAGGTTAAAGCATAATGCCTTACCTGGCATAGTTCACTAAAGTGAGCAGCGTTGTCTCCAACAATTGCACTATAATTAGAGGACCTTCTATCTTGATAATCGGAACACTGCAAATGAAGATAAAGATATATATTTGAGAGACAATTTAAAAGAAATTTAAAATATTCTGCAAAAAACAAATGGGAACTTTTAAAATTGCATGCGCGAGTCAACTTTTTTGTTATATACATATATATTTCTATACTCCATATACATACATGTATATATTTGTTACTTGAGCGATTTGTAATTGTATTACTTATATGTACAAAATTTACGCAATTTGCTTTCTATTTTTCCCATATTTTGTGGCAACATTTTCTTATTAATTGTTGTTTCTTAAAACTACGTGTTTTAACTAACCGTGGAAACGCCACCGTGCCCTCATCGATGGCATAAAGCGTGACATCGCGCGCTGTTAAATTGCCCAAATACTCAAAGAATTCGTTCTCAATGCCCTCGGGCAGCGTTTGCCTAAGATATTCAATATCTGCAAATAGGAATAGATAATGTTGCACTATTTCTTAATATCACTTTCAAATGTACGCACCGCTGTCCGAATAATGGAAACTATCCAGGAACTTAAGGCATTCCTCTAGGCCGGCAAAAATAGTGAATTCGCCGTGAAAAGGATTGCTGCGAAAGAACAAATCGAATACGGCCTGATCGTCCGTTTTTCCCGACTTCCAGTACGCATAGGCCATTGTTATTTGATACAGATCTGCAATGATAAACAAAGATAATGAGGATATGTGAGTAAATCAGCCAACGGCAAATATAATAATACAATAACTGTCATATACGTGTTATGATTAAAGCAATATACTTGTGATGGAACAACAATTAAGGCAAGAGATAAGATATGGGCAATCGGCACCCCATTTCAGAGACACAAGCACTCAGCGTGAAGGTGCAAAGACCCAAAAAAAAAAAAAAAAAAAAAAAAAAAAAATGCACGCACCGAAATAGCTGGCGATTAAGCAAGAATGTGATTTAAATGTCAGCAGAAAGTCAACGACGTCTGCGTCTGCGTCTGCCGACATACATACATATATATGTTAATTCATAGCTAGGATGGGATTACTTACCAGTGAGCAAAGGCTGGACCACTCCATTCTGATTCATGCGTCCGCGATCCATAAACTGGCCGCCCGTATTGCAACTCATTTCACGGTCATTCATGTTCTCGCTCTTCGTTGTTATTTTTGTTATTCTTTTCTTTTTGTTTTGGCTTCTATTTTGGCCTGGTTGCAAGCTTTGTGCCTTTATTAACTCGTACAGCTGGGGCACACACGGCGTATGCGCAACGTGCCTACTTTTTATTTCTGATATCAAGTGCCGTTGAACTTTGTAGTCGTCGCCTCTTTTTGCGTATCTGTAAAATTAAATTGGCCGCATGAATGTTTTCTGTTGTTATTGCATTTGTTCATGTTGTTGTTGCATGATTTGTTTATTTTTGTTTGTAGTTCGGGGTTCGTCATTATTTTAAAACGGCGTGTGCTCTATTAGCGAAAGAATGCGATAAAAGCACAAAAACCCGAATTACTTTGTGACTTTTGTTCTAAACATATGAAAATATCCTTTATTTAACAGAATATTTCATCATAAACTATGAGCCATAAAGAGAGCAGAAAGCGAATTACTTTGTTATATTTATATTTCCTTTGTTTAAGATGAAATCCAATCAAATGATTCAATATATTAATTTTCCTATGATATAAGAAAAATATAATTTTTACATTGTTGCAAAAAAATTAGTTTTTCTATAAAACATATATTTGGATAAATAAATATATCACTGTTCTTGAAATGTATTACATAATTTGAATTAAAGGCATTTTCATATTTATCTCCATATTTTTAACGGATTTTTGTTTTACAAGGTACATAATTTTGTTGAGCAGTTTGGAAACTATTTAGGTATGAATAAAGGAAAAGCTATTATTCCATACGAGTCAAAATAATATAATTGTTGAGTTCCCAAAGCTATGCAATAGTTTCCGATCACTTAAACGTTGTGAGCTTCGGTTTTTAACAATAATTCAAAAGCATTATTAGTTGGGCTCAGCACTTATTTCATAATGACTTGGCACATTGGAATTATTTAATTAATCAAACAAATTTTAGTCGCAATTTAGCACAAGTTATAATTTTATATTTTGCGGAACTCTCTTGCTCTTATAAATATTGTCGATTGTTTTGAAGAAGATGACGTAAGCAAATTTGTGCGTGAATATTTAATTAAACACCCTATATATGAAGTGTTTCATTTTTTATGGCATCCACTGACGAAACTGCTTTGCATGTAAATGCAATAAAATTCATCAACAAAAAAAAAAAAGGAGAAAATCCAAGCTGTCTCAGCTAATTAGCATGACACTATTTTATTTATTTATTTTAATTTACAACCGTTCCCAATTTTCCAGTTATTTGGATCAAATTTAAGAGTTTGCCGCTTTTGTTTTTGGTTTCTTATCAAATCGTTACGTTGTCAAGCTATTTTGGGTCAGCAGCTGTTGATAACCCGGCACTTGAATTTATTAACTTTTGTTGTGCTCCGAGCTGAACACCGAACTTCACTCCACTTGACTGAGTGGCTGACTGACTTACTGACTGCCTGTCAACTAACTGACTGATTCAACTTTTAACTTGTCGAAGATTTTGTCCGAGCGCCAAAGTGCAAACTTATGTGCTAAGCGTTTGAATCTCGACTAAATTGAGGCGAGCGAGGTCGTCGGCGCCAATTTTTTTCTGAGAACAGAGTGGAGCAGAGCAAGGCAGGCGTGAGTAAATAAGTGAATGCATTTCATTATGTTTGTTGAGAGAATTTGTTTATTGTGGCGTTACTTAGCAGCCGCTTTTATACGTGTACTTGTTGTTGTTGCTACTGTCTAAGGAGTCAGTCGGTTTCTGTTTATTTATCGGCTGGCCCAGTGAGATGTGCTGGGTGGAGGGAGGGCGTAGCGGTTGGCTGCTATTGATTACACACGTGATAATCGGGCACAGGAGACGCAGTGGCGTCGCCTCATCAGTATGTTGCAAAGTCAATTTGCAGTCAGCGCGAGCAGCTGTGCACGACGCCCATGGCGGTGCAACTGCTTGTGAAGGTTGCGTGAAGGTCGGCGGTGGCACGGGCGCGAACGAACGCTTAAAATTGCTCACAAACACACATGTGTACACAGCTTCGAGTGATACACACACACACACACATATATATATATATATATAGTTGGACAGGCAAGCCGCAAAACTCGCTCAATGAAAGTGTGGGCGGGCGGTCATTTTATTTATGTGGGTGGGTGTGAGTGATTACTATAAATTGCATTGCTCGGCACTTGTAGCAGGCGCGCAATTAGCTTCAGTGCACTTGCGCCTTGCATCCGCCGCCTCCTTCGGCTCCTTCATCATACATTTCACACACGTTTTTAATTCATACTTTTTTAAATAAATACGGCGACTCAAAAGTTTCTGATAATTTTAACTGCCAAGGCCAGCCGCTGGTTACCAAACGCGCAAGACTCAAGCAGTCAATCGATATCACAACGAATATTAGAAGCAACGCAAGAGCTGCACAATACGCCGATTTTTTTTATATTAATATTAATTACTTTTACTATCTTATTTGATAGAAATTACCGTGCGCGCACCTCCAGCTGATAAGAGCTGATAGTTTAGTGCTGCCAACTCGCTTGCCGCGTCGCGAATTGTAGAATTCTATGCCACTATTTGCTTCCGCGGAGCAGCGCCGCCGTTGCTGTTAATTCAAATAATTATTCGTGTACTGCAAATATCGACAGCAGCAATAAAATCATACAAATTTAAATTGAAGCAGTAAGCTTAAGCCTCAGTTGACTACTTTACGCATTAGGCCAGACTTATTTTTCATTCGTTTAATATCTGTGGAATTTTCATTTGCGTAGACGTAATAAAACTTCATTTGTTTATTTTATATTTATTTATTTACTTGCTATTTACAGTAGATTCCACTATAGCTTCACCTTCAACAGCTATTGCATTATCCACCTCGGCCGGCCAGTCCAGATCAATGCCTACCACATCCAGCGCCTGAATATCAATGGGTTTACCAATAATCGACGCTAACGATGGCGTAGTGCGCCCGAATTCACCATGCACCAGTTCCTTGATGTACATGCCCGCCTGCGTGACCAAGTCAATAATCAGGACGTTTGGCTGGCCACGTTGTACTCGCGCCTTAAGACTGTAAATGGTGCGGGGGCGTGTGAGAAGAGGACGACGATGCAGCACACGAATAGGCGTCTTCTGCTGTATTACAAAGCTCTCGGAAATTTGTAACTTCTGCAGAATATCTACAGTTACCGGCTCTTTCATAGTACAGAGTGCTCGATAGAATTTACGTTTCTGTTCCTCCCCCGTTTTAATGTGCAAGAGTTCCTCACGCGGCACAACCTGTAGATTGCGCACAGAAACCTTGCCCGAGCGATCAACCGCCTGTTCCATCTGTAAAGCCAGCTGGCGACTCAACGTGCTGCACATTGCATCAGGGATCTCCAAAGCAAAAGGACGTCCCTTGCCCAGACAACGCACATCGACATCTTCACGACCGCTCGACATAAAGATAATCTTCTCCTGGCTCTCACTAAAATGCGGCGCCACACTATGGATTATAAGCTCCTCAATGCTATCCTCCATCATGCGCTGGCCATGCAGCACCCACGGCGTGTGGGATAGCTCCCGACTTAGTTTGCGATAACGTCCGGCCACACATACCAAAGGCCCTGTCAGTACAATAGATTTCAACTGAAGCTGCTCGTCCACTGCAGTCGGTGGAATGGGCAGATACTCCTCAAACAGATCTGCTTTTATGCGTGCGGGTTGATATTGTTTCTCGAGCAATCCTCGCGAGATTTCAATCCGCTTTTGTTTCCCTGGAAACGCAGCTTTGTGGAGTTTTGCCAGTTTTTCAACTTCGCCTGCCTCTACGCTGTGTCGCAAATCCACATTAATCATAAGACCATTGGGGTCATTTTTCTTTTTAAGCTGCGCGCATATTATGGGATTGAGTATGAGCTTCACTGCCTCCTTGATGGGAACATCTGGCGCATTTGTGTCGTCTATAACGCATCCAAATTTGCGACGCAAGGCAAACCACATGGAGAGCTGCCGCAATTGCAGCGTCATGGGCAGACATAGGGCTAACACAATTCCATCGCTGTCATACTTGGAAATATCCTTTGCCAAAATGCCTTCGACCAACTGACGCTGAAAATCCTCAGAGAAGAGGCCCAGGCAGGTGGGGCAAACGCCCAAACGTGGCTTTTTTAACGGTTGCTCATCCGAATGCTCAACATTCAGCTGAAATTTAAGGGGCTTCAGAGAAATTTCTCCCATTATGCTGTTTATGCCTCTCACCCGTTGAAATGTTTTGCTCATATCCCGGTACTCTGTACCTCGTGCTTTCAAGTACCGCAGCTGACACACCTGGCATATCCCACACGATTCCAAATACTCCACGAGATCCTGATTTTGCATTGAAATAGTCCGTCTTCCTTCTTTTCCATGTAAACAAAACGTGGAGTTCGTCGGCTGTTGTTCAACACTATCAGTCAGCTGTCTACGTAGGCTGTCAAAAGGGGAAGAAGCAGCAGCAAAAAGTTTCGCTTAACATAAATTATTTTCTTCGGCAAATTATTGGAATTTGATGTAAGTTGCAATCATAAAATGCAAAATAACAACCTTAAATTCAATAACAAAGGGTTGTTTTCAACTTCGGGAGAGCAACAATAAATATTATTGTAGCAAATCGACTTTGTTATTGTTACGTCACAGAACGTACATCTTTGCTAGGCTTAAAGATCGTTATTCTTTTTGCAGCGGCCAAGATGTCCTTGACGCCGTTTTTCCGCCTACCCCTCACAGATTTGACGGGTTGCCTGATCAATCATCAAACCTACGATAAATGCGGCAAATTTGAAATGGACATGATGGACTGTCTGGAGGCTTACGGTATGGAGCGTGGCAAGAAAGTCTGTGCAGAAATTATTAACGATTTCCAGGAGTGTGTTGGCATGCAGAAGCAGTTGCTGCGCTTCCACGTACGCTATTATCTCCCTTGAATTGAAAATGTACCTATTTAATAATCTATTCGCCTTACAGGCCATGAGAAACGAACGCTATAAGCAGTGGCTGTTGGGAGACCGTAAAAAGGAAGAACTCTTTGCCGAACCCCCACGTGTGGACGCCTATTAGTTTGTAGAGCTACCACAAGAATAATTTCATACCTATTCTTTAGCTGAAATTGTTTAACATTAAAGAAAGATAACATTGAATGGAGACGCCAAACAGCTGTTTCTTATTTATGGGTTGAGTGTCGCAGAATTATATAGAGAATGGATTGCTAATGGTTACATTTCTGAACCTTAGCATTCAAAATAAGGGCCTTGTGCGAAAAATAAGTTATACGTAGCCTAGAATTCATTATAAAATGTCATATATTGATTTTTGACACCTACACAATGCATGTCGATAAGAGCATCTTATAAATAAAGGGAAAATGTAATATAAGCATATACGATTGATCCAGTAATAGATTTTTAATTATTTATTTTTTCCTAAAGGTTCTTTTGAAGCTTGTAATGGTTACTATTACATCGACTAATCCAACAAATTTTTTTGATATTCCCAAATTATGCAAAACAGTACACTGTGATAAACGAACATGAACTGGGGGTTTAATCTGATAGAATATTAGTGGGCTAACAGCAAAAGTTCAATTTAAATTGTTTAATAAAACTCAGAAATATAATCCGTTGTTATCCTTCACAATTATAATTTTCTTTATTATATTATAATTGACTTGTTTTATCCTTTTGTTGTGGTACGAGTTTTTATTATCTTATTTTATATTAGCTTTTTCAATTATGGGTGATAATCAGCTTAGGCAGCTAACAATTCTAGCTCAATTCTAAAAGATTTGTTTGTGGTACTTCATTTTCATCTTAGATTTCTAATTTAGCTTAGACTTTAATTCACGTACATATATATACTTTAGACTTAATATGATTTAAACGTTTAGTGAAGTGACTATTTTTCCTTAACGAATAGATAAAATATGACAATTTGTGGTAATTAATTTTCATCTTAGATTTCTAATTTAGCTTAGACTTTAACACACGTACATATATATATACTATAGACTTAATATGATTTAAACCTTTAGTTAAGCGACTATTTTTCCTTAACGAATAGATAAAATATGACAACTTATTGTGAACATACTCACTATAATTTCCGTTGGCCGTGGTGGTGGTTGTTACGTTGCTCAGATCGGCGATTTCCTCCACTGCTGTTTTGCAGAAATGGATTTGTTCGTGGTCGGTTGCGATCTAAGACAGCACTATCGCTGCGCCGCCGTGCATCGTTATTCATATGTTTGGGGCTGCGATCGTAAGGCTTGGCGTCGTGGAGCGTATGGCGAGCATGACGCGCTGCCCCGTGGTCTCCTTTTGCAACGTCGTTTGCAAACGGATTTCGCATACGAGATGAAACAGACGGTACAGAAAAGTCATTCGACTGCCTCTGTTGTGGACGATCTGCTGCCTGTGCCTTTATCGTTACCTTCTTTTGGAACAATTCGAGCCCTTGGAACAGGTCTAATGCAAACGGCACAGCGCTCAGATGGAAGTAGGTAACAAATCCAAAATTGCGTTGTCTGCCGCCACCGTCCTTTGGAATGCGAACGCTTTCAATAGGTCCGGCTTGCAGAAAAATCTCATAGAGTATGTCATCCGTTACGTGCTCATCTAAATTGCCACAGAACAAGGTTCTTTGTTCCTCGTCATCCTCCTTGTCGTTTCATAAATCAATCAATTTCATTTGTTTAGTTTAGCTCTGACCAGCAGATTTTTATATATGTATGTATGTATTTTAAAAACTTGTTACCTTAGCGGAATAGTCTTCTTCTTCGTCGTATGTACTTGAATTAAATTGCGGCGCCATTTGCATAGGAAAAGGAATAGGGACGGGACCGTAATTCATCATATATGGCATACACATTTGCATTTGCGCGGCTTGTATGGCCGCCATTACGGGGTTCATTATATTTGTGGTGCGTGTCCAGTTTGTTGTCGAATTGCAGAATGGAGCTGGAGGAATGCGCGCTGTATTTATACGTACGAATTACAAATCCTTTAATAAAAATTTTCTATATAACTTAAAGGCGCTGAAACAATAATAATGTTTTAACTAGTGATGTAAGAAAACATCGGCGTGTCGTTGATGCATCGATGTTTTCAAAACATTGAATCGGCAACTTAAAAAAAATATTATCATTGTCTTTGGGAACGCAAATAAACTCAAATGGCGGAATATATCTTGTAAAAGATTCTACAAACAATTTGGAATGGGAAGACATAATGGATAACCTAATTACTACTGTCTTATATTGGCGTTTTTTTCATGTTATATTAATATATACATATATATGTAAGTATATCGATATCGATGTATATTTCTCGTTGATGCTCTACCAACAATAACTGAGAGTACGAACAGCTGTAATTTACTCGTTTGCTGGGTAACATTCTTAGGAACAATGAATTGGCAGCACTTGTTCTCGTGTGCGGCGTCCGCTTTTTTTCACGCCGCTGAATTCGTGTACGTTTTTTATCAATATTGAACTAAAATGGGGACGAAAAGACCTAGTAATAGCGTAGTCCTGGCGCAGGATCCCAAACGTAGCAAAAACGAAATTGCAGCCTATACAAATCGCGACAAGGCACTATTAGAATCGGTAAGCAATGAAGAAGAAGAGCCGGTCGATGAACGAAACTTGCAATTAATCCTATTGTTTACATGTTTAGGGCGTAAGGAGAACTTCAAATCTGCAGGCGCCTATAATGCTATTAGAAGGGCACAATGGAGAAATATTTACCACAGAATTTCATCCGGAAGGTGAGCTGTTGCTCTCATCCGGCTTCGATCGTCAGATTTGTAAGTACTAAATAAAATGAAGGAGACCAAGACCCCCAGATAATTACCTGACTTTACAGACATCTGGCAGGTGTACGATGATTGTGAGAATGTCATGGCCATGTCTGGGCATACCGGCGCCGTAATGGAAGCGCATTTCACACCTGACGGCTCTCACATTTTCACCTGCTCCACGGACAAAACGCTCGCAATTTGGGATTTGGTGACAGGCCAACGTGTGCGTCGTCTGAAGGGCCACAGTAATTTCGTGAATAGCGTGCAGGGCTCGCGACGCGGCCAGCAACTATTGTGTTCCGGCAGCGATGATCGGACGATACGGATATGGGACGTTCGCAAGAAGCAGGCAGTGCACACGTTGGAGTCGCCATACCAGGTGACAGCGGTTTGCTTTGGTGATACAGGGGAGCAGATCATCAGTGGCGGCATCGATAATGAGGTCAAGGTGTGGGACGTGAGGAAGCAGCAAGTTCTGCACCACTTGCGTGGGCATACAGACACCATTACGGGCATGTCGCTATCGCCGGAGGGCGATTTCGTGCTCACCAACGCCATGGACAACACGCTGCGTGTCTGGGATGTGCGCCCATATGCGCCGGGTGAACGTTGCGTCAAAGTCTTCCAGGGCCACCAGCACAACTTTGAGAAGAATCTGTTACGGTGCGCGTGGGCGCCAGGTGGGGACAAAATCTCGGCCGGCTCCGCCGATCGCCACGTCTACATTTGGGATGTGAACACCAGACGTATTCTGTACAAGCTGCCCGGACACAATGGCAGTGTCAATGATATCGACTTTAGTCCGCGTGAACCGCTTATATTGTCCGCATCTAGCGATAAGACTCTGTACCTAGGCGAGATCGAGGATTAGCGAGTATCACAAATAAGTTTTATTCCCCATTATCATTATACAATGCAAGTCAATAAATATTTTGTATGTAAAAATCCATGTGGTGGTTTTATCATATGTTTCTCCTAAACTGGCAGTGTGCTAGATGATGAGGAGACGCTGCTCTTAAATAGCTGGCCAAAGAACTTCAGGCCCGTTGCACCACCGGGCACCATGCTCAATACCATGAAGAGTAACGCTATGATTTGCGCCACTGCAAACAGTACAGTAAAGGCCGTGCTCTGGACGATTAACGAGAAGTAGAGTGTGAGGAGCAGGCACGAGCTGTATGAGATGGAGGTAAGCAGGCGTGGCTTGGAGAACATCTGCTTTAGGAATGCACCAAAACCGGACAGGAAGCAGAAGCTGAGAATGAAGAATATACTGCCCATTGTGTAGAGCAACGCAAATTTCCGCGCCTTCAGGATCAGGACCGGTATGTAAAATGTTGAAAGAGTCATGCAAAGGGCACCAACGCCCAGGCAAGCAACAAAGCCCACAATCCTTTGGAGCCGTGACTGAAATACACACTCAATGTTAATGAAATGTAGTCTCCTTAATAATAAACTAGCTACTCACTAGCTTTGGACAGCAGGAGTCTTGTGTATCCTTCAACCAACTGTTTTCTGGCTCTGGGCGTGAGAAAAGCTGGCCCAGTCGGCCCAGTTGCGGCACCTTTATCTGTGGTATCTTTACATTAAAGTTTTTCTTCTGATCACTCTGAAGCAGCAGGTATTCGTCCAAATCCTGCTTAAGATTGCTCATCGTCGTCCCGCTGAATCGCCTTTTGTTTTGGTTTTGGTTGCGTGTGGCTTTAGTTTGTATTGGTATTTAAAATACAACACATCTCTAATGGGATATCGATACTAAGCCTAAATGTGCGCACTAGAGATGGGCGCGTCGAGACGTGATTCAAATTTTAATGACAGCTAGAAAACAAAGTATACTTGCAAAGAACTTTTCCTATCTAAGCCATATACATACAACACACATATGGTCTGATCCTTCCTAAATTTTGAGACTAGAGTCCTTTTTATATGAAATTTGCTCTTCAATAATATAGAGGCTCGATATAACATGTTATAATACTTCTTGGAAAAGGAATAAGTTAATCTATAAAATTAAATTCCAAATTATTATACATAAATGAAATTGGGATATACAGTAAATTTGCGAAACGCAACAAAAAAAATCATCTCTTTCTCTACAATACAAATAAATATATTAAATTTACAGAAAATGTTAACTAAAGCTATATGTAAATACCAAAAAAAAGTGTTATAATCTCTGAAATTAAAATGTTCCATACAAGTTTATCAACTATAATGTAGTTCTGGATCCAAAGAGTAAAAGGTTAATCTAGGTTTGTGCGAATATACAGAAAGTAAATACGACTTTATTCTTAATCGGTAAGCTCCGTTTGTATAAGTTCGGAGAATTCGCGGAAAGTACAATAACCAAACGTGGTATCCAGGTTCTTCCCTGATGCCACTTCCTTTTTGTGAGTGTTAATCTAAATACGGTTAGGGATTATTTTCTGGCCATTAATGTAATTTAATAAAATGCAACACCATGGCATTTTATTGCAACCAGAAACAAAATTACAAACGCTACGAAAAATTATGCAATTGAAAAAGTAAATCTATAGATATATGTATTAACATAATCTTTTCTTCGGCATTATTCATTTGCTAACTCCTTGATTTCCTTTACCATTTCACTTAAAATGTGGTTTACAAAAATCAAATTTATTAAATTGCTTGTTTCTAGCTATGTGAAGTTATTTAGTTTATATACTTTTTTCTTCTCATTAGGGAGTATTTATCAGTTTTAACCTAATTAAAGATTAATTTTAACAAATGTATTACAAATCTAAGTCATTTGTCGCGCGAGAATTCAAATGTGATTTGGCACTTTTAATTGAAGGCACCAGAAACCGGTTCCTTTCTTTATCGAATAGCTACTATTGTTTGAGTTTACAAATCGGGTATCGATAAGAAATACCAACCAGCTGACCAGGGCTGGCCAACAACTACTCGAGAAATGAGCCGGGGGAACTGAGTACTTTTATAAGCGATACCATTTCAGTATTTAACGGATTGTCATAGTGAGCAGTTGAGATTCGCGCAGTGCGTTTGTTTGGCGCGCGCGTTTTACTAATGAGAGAGAAAGAGAGAGAGCATAAAAACACAACAGTAGCACAGCAAAAGCAACAACAGCAACCCAAAGCAAAAAACAATAACAATTTTAAAGAAGAAGTATAACGACGGGCGATAAAGCAAAACGCCGAAAACACACACAAATTAAAAATAATCATCTGAAAAAAGTCAAATCTACGGCAAGTGCGTCCTGCCCCCCCGCTCGGTTCGGTAACCAATATTAACGCAAATATACTTATGTATGTATATTTGTGTGTCTGTGAATATGTGTGTTTGTGAGAAAATGCATTAATTACACAAATACAACAGCAAATGTAAATACAATAAAATACAAACAAAAACAATACGCAAACACAAAAAGCAAATGAAATAAATGTTCAAGAAAATGCAAATTCTATAAAATAAAAAATACAAATAATAGTAAAGTCAAAGGCAAGTGTGTTAAAATCCCACATTTTTTTTATTGTTTTTTCCCAAAAATTTATTTGTGATGGGTTTTTCGTGAATGAAATTCACTTGAGGCGCACCAAATAATATTTAAATAAATAAAATTAAGTGCAAAATGTTACTCATTTTTGTGTCTATGAAGAAGCCTTTAAAGTAAATGCTCCTTAATGAAAGATAACTAAATACTGCGCTCTGTCGGATCCGTAAAGAACTCAAGCACACCTTTTTGGAGGTTTTTGAAAATGCGAAGATTTCGAATACAGTCCAAACGGGTTTAAAAATATCGGTCGTCGTCGTTGTCGTCATCTACATCGTCGTCTTTGTCTCGCTGATCCACATCTCAAGCACAGAATTGGAAGCTTCATCAATGGTGTAAGTATCCCACGAGCCCAACTTTCTGGAAACAAACAGCATACATCTTGAAGTCAGGGGAGAGTTCGGGTTCCATAAGTTAGTAATTTGGGCGCATACTGAAGCATTTTCAGAAGCTTCGAGGCGGCTTTCCCCAGTTTCAAGCTGAGATGGAACTTTCCGTCGAAGGATTGATGGTCTTATAAACTGATTTAAATAATGGAAATATTTTATTGTGATGGTCTGCTGAGATTTTAGAAAGCAGCGATTTATTTGATGATTAATTTTAATGTTTTTATTTAATTTGATTTGAAAAAACAGTTTTTCATGAAAAACCTGAATGTAAACTTCTTTTAGTTGGGGAACATTTTTACATAAATCGACTTTTCTGGGTTTTAGCGATTATAGATTTCAATTAGTAAGGCTTTCGGGTGGACCAGTTTTAGGAAATCGCTCAAACAAAACTTATGTTATGAATAAGTCATACTGAAACAATTTTGTAAATTTCATAACAGAAATTTTACTTTTCTTAACTATTACGATGGCATTAAAACTGTTCGAGTTCTCGCACAATAAACAGTTCTATTAAAATAAAAATTTCTTTTCTTTGCAGCCCGCAACACAATTGGTAAGGCAACAAAAACAAACCAACAACTGTCAAATCAACAATTATCATAAAAAATATATGTTTTAAAATATATTTAACAAAAAAATGCTTGCATAAAATAATCCAAAAGGCAATTTTGCCACATGGATAAGTGTGTGAAAAGTGTGCAAAAGAAATCCCAAATTTTAACCGAGTGAAAATCCCCTTTAAATCGCATAAAACCAAAGAAAATTTAAAGCCTGCAAGGCTTATGCCAATTTTAAATTTATATAAACCTAAAATATAACTAAAATAAACTCTTAAACGCAGCCCCACGAGGAAGGATTTTTAGTTGGGGGGCCGAGTGTAGAGCGCTCAACGCTTTGCGATCTTCAGAGCTCGGTCGCAGCACAAAGAAAAATGGCACAACGATTGCGACTGCGAACGGTTTGAGCGCTTTTGTTGGGGCTGGGGCGCTGCTTGCTGCGCTGCCACAGCAGCAACAGCAATTAACTCGAAAGCAAAGAATTTCATCAGAAATTCAAAGCACACAAATACACGCACACATACAGTATGTATGTATAGCGTAGGGAATGGATGACGGCTGAAAATAACGAGGCAAGCAGCGACTGAAATTTGTAGCAAAAATCCAGGCTGACAGCTCCCCCTCAAGAGTGGCCAACAGCAATAGCAACAACAAAGATGAAAAAGTAACATGGCGTTGCCTGTACGTATTTGACTGCGAGTGTGTGTGTGCGTGTGTGTGTGAGCCCCAGCACAGCCCCAATACAAAGTAGCAAAACTACAACGACAAATATTGTGTGAACGGTATAGCTGTAAGCGCGCGCGTATTAAGTGCAAGCGAGACACAAATATATAGAGAAATTGTCGGGTCGTCGGCGCCGCGTTTTCTCTGCCAGCGTCGCAGTCGACATCGTTGAAAAATCGATTCAGCTACAGCGCGCACACATACACGCAAGAAACGAGAACGCGTACGTGCGAAAAAGATGGCAAATGAACAAACGCGCGCTAATTTGCCTTTGGTGCGAGCGAGCTGCTAGATGCAGTAAAAAACTTTTTATTTAACCCGTTTCGTGTGCGTGCGCGTGCGCATGTGTGTATGTGTGTGTATTGGAGCTGCTAGAAACTACGTTGTACGACAAAAACTACAAAATCTCTTTGTTGTTGGTTGGAGCAGCGCGGCGTGTGGCGGCATTCATTTTAAGCAAAACGCCCCTTCCCCTTGCACAGCTCCTTCACCTCCTGCTTTAGCTACATACATTCATACATATATATGTACATACATACATACACACAAAGTTTGAATGCGGTCGTCGGTCACGTAGCAGCGCCAACTACAAAAATGACTGCATAGTTCGTTGGCTACAAAAAAATTAAAACGTAAACTTGTTTCTTACAGATACACAGCTGCTTCAAACTACATATGGACATGCATATGCATGTACATTTATACATACATTTATATGTATAAACCTATGTATGCATATATATTCTGGTGTTTTGACATATTAATGAATTCTAAACCAAGCTTCTAATAGGGTTTTTCCCCAATGGAAAAAAAATATTTTCTAACCAGTCGCGCGATCACGCGAAACTCTTCTTCTTTGTAGACAGCACTACAAACTTGCAGCTTGGCCATAAATGGCCAACCACTTTTAAGCCAAATACGTTTCTATGACCACAAAATGGCGTCGACCATGTCCATAGACAGAAAATACAGAGAATAACTAGAAAAACAGAAGAATCTGTATGACAACTTAAAAGGCAGGCTGTGCAGAACAAACGGAAAATTACATCGAAAGAAACGACGGCGAACGAGGCGACGACGGCAACTATAACAATAACGACAACAACAAGAACTACAACAATATACAAGACGAAGACAAAGGCGCGAGTAAATTATATGAAAAAAATGTTTTTTGTGTAAATAATTTTGCACACGTCGACAGAAAAATAAAAATTGCTAGTGCTGTAGCTGTGCGCTACACAGCTACAAAAGCCGTAACAACAACGGCGACGACAACAGCAACCACTATATCAGTAGCAGCAATAAACGAATGTCTTTCAAAAACGAACGCCTAAAAGACAACCGCACCCCACCAGGCATACAAAACGACTGATGCAAAAAAGCAAGCGAGCGACCGCTTATAAGTACAGCCAGGCCGTCAGGCAGCAAGCAGCAACTTTCACAGAGAGCCCCAAAAAAAGAGAGGAGCACGATCGATTGCCACCAGTGTTGCTAAATCTTCACAGTCAAATCTCGCCAGATCAGCAGTTGAATAAAGCTAGAAACAACTAAATATATATTTAATCATCAAAGGCAAATCTTTAATTTTAGTCATAACCGTAATGTAACAAACCTATCAATTTTCGCAGATTCTTCTATGTCGATCCACTTGAGAAGCTAATTCCAATACTGCTCAGCTATTCATATATTTGTTTACGAATATTACAAACAAAAAAGTTTTTCGTTGCCATATGATAGTCTTCTGGTTTTATAACCTTTCTCTGAGTTTTAAATTCCTTTTGCAATTTTTCTTGTTCGTAAACTTAGCGCCGTAATATTTCGAAAACCTTGGTTGAATGAGATCTATGTTAATATTAATTCATATAAATATATGTGTATGTACATAGTATAGAAAATAAAGTTATTCCGCCAGCCGCAATATTATCCGTAATCGGCATTTGAAAATCTCCAAAACTGGCGGGGAAAATAGCTAAATTTGCAACACTGCTATGCTGCTCCAATGGCCCCAACGGCAATGGCTGCCGCGTAGTTTCCGTGCGCTCTCCCCCCGTAAATTGAGAGAGAGCGAGAGCGAAACAATTTTTACTATTTATATGGCGGCTGCGTGAGGGAGATGCAATGATAAAATTTGTGTTGCCTGCCTGCCTGGCCAAGCGTCTGCGCATTTAGTACAGCCAACAAATATTTGTATGTATGTATGTAGTATGTACAATGTGTATTTGTATGCATATGTGTGTATGTGTACATGTTGTTATAACAACACTATAGTGTTGGGCCAAGTTTTATAAGCGCCTTTTGCATGTGTGGTAGTGATTTCCTGCTGCCTTTGGTTTGCTTTGGGCCCCACACCCAGTCTACAAAAAGGGCCAACGCACACACAAGCCCAATAAATACACACTTTGTATGTATGTATGTTTTTATGTACACTAAACTAGCTAAAAACAAATAGCAACAACAACGACGACTACAATTTACAATATATGGGTAGAAGAAAAACGAGAAAATAAATAAATATCTATAAGAAACGTCGTCATCGCAGGGCAGGCAGCTACGACTGAAAAAACGTGAACGTCGTCTTTGTTGTTGTTGCCGTCCCAAAGCACCCCTCTACACAACAGAGTCTCACATACACAAACTGAAACATGCACATGACTACATAACCATTTATAAATACGCGATGGCTGGCAGCGGCAACAAGAACAACAGCAATGACGACGGCAAAAACAAACTCACAGCTAACTCTGAGATACTCGTTTTTCCATGCCCGTGTTTCTACTTCTTCTTCTTCTGCTTTCGTGTTGTTCCCTCGGCGCTCAAAGTACCAGCCATAAATTCTTTATGTACAATACATACAATTTTGTATATATGTATGCAGCTACATATCTATATACGTACACATGTATGCATAGGTATATATAAATACATACATACGTGTGTTTTTTATGTCGTGTGTGCGCTGAAGCAGCAACGTCAGCGTCAGGCCATTAAAATATATCGCGCTCTCGCTTGCTCTCATATGCGGCCATTTATATGGCACCCCACTTTGTGAGTACGTATGTGCTTTCGTGTGTGTGTGTGTGTGTGTATCTGTGTGGCTATAACAACCACGTCAGACAGCAGCAGCGCAGCTCAGTGCAAACGTCAATTATAAGTAAACAGCGCGCAACGTTGCCAAACTTCTTCACAGTTGAGCCGCAGCAGCAGAGCGATGCCAGAGTGGCAGAGCAGCTTAGTTGTATGGCCGCTCAATATGATGGACGGACGAACGAACGAAGGGACGGACGGGCAGGCGGTCAGGCAAGCAGCAGTAGACTGGCAACGAAGCGGCAGCGTTGTTGCCAAACTTCACACCAGTCAGCCAACAATCAACAAAGGCGCTGGCAGAGCAGCATGAACGTTGTTGTTCTTGTATTTCCATTTCCATGTTCTGTATTGCCTCTGCTGATGGTTCTTTGGTTCTTTAATGCATGGAATTTTAACATGCTCTGCACCCCTCAGCGTGTCTCTCTCTTTCTTGCTCTACGTCCCTGCTATGTTTCGTTTGCCTGCTGCCTGACTGGCCTGGCCCGGCTTGGCTTGGCCTGGCCTGTTTGTTTGCTTGCAACGTTGACTGGATTATAATAACGTGCTGCTCACATTTCCACCTTCTGAGCATTTTGTTGTTGCTTGCCCATCCCCCCCTCTTGCGTTCTGACCCGTACCGTTCCGTCCCTTCGTGACCAAACTTGAGCAGCGCCTTGAGTTGCCTTTTAAATTGAGCAAAAAGATCTTTCTGTTGCCTGCCTGCTGTGTATCTCATAGATACTTTCTTGCTTGCCACTGCTGCTGAGCCAACAGCCAGCCCATTGAGATTTCAATAAATTTAAATTGCTCTAGTTAAATTAAATTAAAACATTTGTAGTATTTTTAGTGATAAATTAACATAAATTGGCATAAGCTTTGACTCGCGTCTCCATCGTCTCCCCTGGCATCCAGCATCCATCATACAACGTGTTTATCAAAAGCCACAAATTGAAGTGAACACCAACAACAACAAACACAACAACCAAATTCACCCAGTATGTTGTGTGCGAGTGTGTGTATGTGTGTGTGCCCCCCAAAGTGAAAATAAAAAAATGAGCAAAGCAAATCAAATCAAATTGAATTAAATACATATATTCGCATAATCTCATAATGTTCTTGCCCCCCTCTAAAATGATACCTCAATTTTATTTACAGCGCCGCAACAACAACAAATTAAGAAAAATCAATTGAAAATCGATCGATCCAATCGAATCCAAGCCGATTGCACACACCGCCAACTGTGTGTGTGTGTGGGTTTGTGAGCGTGTATGTGAGAGTGTAAGTGAATCAGTGTTGTGAGTGGAAATGGAATCAGTGCAAATAATGCATTGAATCGAAATCGAAGCAAAGAAGATAAAAGAAAAGTGCAACAAAAGAAAATTCAAAAGAAATAATACGAAATTGAAGCAGAAAGTATCCCGCAAATAAATAATATGTGCATGTGAGCGAAAAGCCTCGACGCCTCGATATAATCAATGGGTAGAGTGCGCGCCCATTTAAAAATATGCGCCTCCAACAGCATACAAATGCTTAATAGATCGTGAGTCGTCCCAAAACATGGTACGCGACAGCAGCCGTAACATTTGTTTTGGAAAATTAGCCGAAACGACGCAGCAGCAGCAACAGCAGCAACAACACCAACAACAAGCCGTGGATAGTAGCAGTAACAAAATACGCGATACATTAAAAAGGTAAGTAACACCCTTCCCCAAAAAGAAATAATATATATGGCAAAATTTCAAATGGGTTCGAGAACTTAAAGTACTGTTACTCGGCACCTCAAGCCACCTCTTCTTATTCCTCTTATACACATTAAAAAATAGAAATAACATGTTATAGTTTTCAAATGTTTCCATGAAGTTTTTCAATCCTTAAGAGTACTATATAGCCGATTATTTATAAATTAAATTTCTTAATACTGCTGAATCCCTTTTGAACATTCAATACTAATCTTTTTTAACACATTATATTTGAACTGAGAAATTGTTTTTATTAGACATCTTTTTATTCTACTAGGATACGACTGAATGCATTTTCGATCTAATTGGCGATGCTTATATTGCTTTAATGGAAATGGGATTTATCTTCATATTTAAAAGCCTATGTAACTCTAATTTGTTTGTTCGCCGCTGAGGTGAATGCATTTTTGAAAACTAATACATTCGTTCCTACTGTATTTAAGTGTTCCTGAATGTAAATGTGAAACCTTTCTATATCGCTGTTCTCTTAGCTATAAAGCACTTAGTCTATTTGTGAGATGTTAAATAACTTTTTACCCACATTAGTTTTTTTTTTATCAAATGATGTAACAAATTGCACAGTCTATATCAAATTATATTATTATTTACAATAGAAATCTGTGGCATATCTTTATGAACGAAGAGCTAAGTGGCTGAAAATGTACAAGAGAGCTTTCCTGATATTTATGTTGGTTGTATGGTCTTAAAATGCAGCTCATTTGAATATATTTTATAGCTACTGTAGCAATATTTAGTAATATGCCAGCAAAACCATAGAGTATATAAAAATCTCAGACGAAAGACGTCTATAAATTAAATATTTATGAATTTTTCATAGATCTTAACACTCGAAGTTTGAATAAAACTAATTACATCATTGATTTACGATAGGTATAATCAGTTAAAAAATCAATATCATTGATCTTTTTAAAAGCTGCCATAAAAATATCCAGAAATTTCGATTCATAGTAATACTAATTCGATTTAAAAGAATAAACAAATGAGAAAGGAATCTTTGACACGATTGGCCGCCTATGTTGGTGCATCTTTAAGATACAGCAGTCGTAGGAAATGTTAGTGGAACAATGGATAGCGTGAAACTTAGTTGTATTTCCTAGAAGCTTATCTATTTTAGTGTTTCAGGAACAATTCAGCCAGAATTTAAGCAGAGTCGATCGACTATATCACATAAGTAGCTGCGTTTTTAATGAGTGTGGGTGCAGAGTGTGTGGCTGCTGTGTGCAGTCGTCGCGTTAGCGTTCTATCTTGTTACGTCTACTTTATATTTACCTTGACTGCCTTTTACCTGTGCCAACTGACAATTCAGACAGGCAGCAGGCAGGCAGGCAGGCAGCAGACAGTCGAATGGTCGGCCAACATGTGGCGAGCGCTGCTGCCAACCGACAGCAGCGGCGTCTATTTTGCGTTATTACGTAATTTCGTACTTTTTATTTGGGCCTAAAGAACAGCAAATGCTGTGAATATACAAAAACATACACACACACACATACATGCATACATACACTGTATCTTTGTGGTTAATTCATTGTTGTTTGTTTGTTTGTTAGTCAAACAAGTTTTGCAGTCAACGGCGGCCGCTACTTGTTTTTATTGTTGCCGTTGTCACTACTATAATAATTTTTTTTTTCCTTCTATTTCTGCGGCCGGGGTGCAAAAGTCGCTGCTTAATTGCTTCATTAGCCGCCAGTCTATGGCAGAGCTAGACGAAATAGAGAATCAGAGGAGGGGCAAAGAGAAGGAGAGAGAGAGAAAGAGAGTGTGCTGAAAAGCTAGCGCTGCCGATTGAAGAGCGAAGTGAAGTGAAGTCATTAAACCAGCCCGAAAAAAAACTAGCCAGTGTTGTGGAGTGCGGTGCATTAAACCCGCATCAATGTCAGACGCAGCAGCAGCAGCAACAACAACTATTACAACAACAATAGCAACAACAACAGGTACAACAACTACATAAACTGTAGGCGCGGTAATTACATAAACAAAACAACAACTACAACACAATCGTCAAAAAGCGCTGCTCAGAGTTCAAAACCAGCTTTTGACATTGACAGTGAACCACGGCGACGTCAACAACGACAGCAGCAACAGCAACAACAACAACAACAGTTATAACAACCAAACTGTGTATATAGTTTCAAGCTAAATGTGCATAAATAAATTACGCACTATGCCAAAAGATATTGTATCTTTGGGATACGCACACATATTAAGTTTAAGACAAACAACAACACCAGGCCGGCGGCCATTGATGACGCATGAGTTTTTGGGTAATGTTGTTGCTGCTGCTGCTGCTGCTGTTCGGGGTATTTATTTTCTTCTTCTTTTCGATCATATGCATACTTATTTTCATTATAATTCGTTTCGATTACGATTATGTATTTGTGTATCTTGTGGATCGTGTAACGCAGCTGCCTTCGCTCTGTACTTATGTACAAATGTATGTATCTACAATGTAGCATATACATTATATGTATATGTGTGCGTTTATCTTCATGTGCGCCTCTTAATTTTGGGCGTTGTTTTGCTCTCAACGACCCTGAAAAGCGTAAAATGTAACGTAATCACATACTATATAATAACAACAATAATATGAAGAAGCAAACAAAGAAAGCTGCCTATTGAGAAACTGTTGGTCGAATGAATAGGCTTCTATTTAAAGGATACTTAAAATAGTCATAGAAGTAGTGTTTAATGTCCTACCTGCCTTTTTTCGATTGCTAGAATATTCACAGCAAAGTTTATTGTCGCCATAAGGTCGATTATAAGCTATTCAGATTGATCTCATTATCTCCCATATGTCATTTTATGTTTTCCGTTCAAAGATTCAGACAAATATAGTTGGCTATCGAGAAACTGTTGGTAGAATAACATCGTATATTAAAAATCCTTTAAATAGTTCCAGAGGGTAACATATTGAACCATTTTATATATTTACTGAAGATGTGATTGAAGTCTATTTAACTCCAAATTTTTATGGAAATCCCATCCATAAAAAAGATCCATGTGGTGACCGAGTTGTACAATTCTGAGAATATTTTTTTTGGTTTGGTTCTTTGTATTCCTAGAATAATTAAAGTAGATTCGAATGCGAGTTGGCTGGAACTGGGAGATCGAACTGCTGGTGTTCTATAATTCGCTTATAAGGTCGACTAAAAAAGTAAAAGCTTGATCCCACTGTCGATGGTTTTTTTTTTATTAATAATGTAACCAATCTTTGGCCTGACACCGAAGCCTATCCTTAAAGTACGCTCTCTATGGCTAATTTTAGACTCATTCGCTCTACACTTAGGTCTAAGAATAAACAAAGTATTATTTATTTCACCTGAAATATTGTAGTTAAGGGTTTCAATGGAAAATTCGGCATTTTGAGGCATTTTCCACATTTGTGCACCTTAGACTTGTGGTGCTTAAAAATAGACCAACGGCAATAGCACTAAGAAATGTGTAAAAGTTGCACAAATTATCTATAATATTACAAATTGTGTGCGTTGTTTGTGTTTTCCTTTTCGTTCACTATGTTCTCTCTCTCTCCCTTTCTCTCCCTCTGCTATCTTATCTTTTCTATTCTATTTTTTCATGCTTGTTGCCCCACAGAACACGAAGCGCTGTCAATGCCAAAATAAGCATTGAGAAAAAAATAAAATAGAATAGAACTACAACGAATTACAACAAAAACAATAACGTAAATGTAACATGCCATGGCCTGACATTGAAACAAGTCAAAAACACTAAAATATAGTATCTCGTGTGTTGTTGCTACAACTGTCGCTGTTGTTGTTATTAGTGGCTTGCTATTCTCTGTTAAAAAAGCTGAACACGAAACCTAATGAAAATGTTGTGGCAGAAAATGTGAGAAATTCGAAGGAATACATTTTTCTATCCTGAAGTTTTTTTGTTTTGAGCTTTCGGACTTCCGGGGAAATCTTTTACTTTGTGTAGCTTAGTTTTTGTTTTTAAAGTCTGCGATTACTTAAGAAGCTTTGATGTTTTCGTTTTATTTAATTTTCAAATACTAGATAATTTCATATTAAAATATAAGAACCTTTTAAAGACAAAAAGTAAAAGTAACTATTATAATTGTTCTTTAAACAAATTAAAAATATACAATATGCTGTTAATAAATTGAGGATATTAGGGATAAATTAATAAAAAATGAATGCCGATTCCACGAATTAATTCTTCAAGTATTATTATAAATCGTTTAATTTTTAATTGAAAATAGATCTTCCTATATAATAAGGAATACTAAAGATTCTCAATCTGAAGTCAATAGGAAGTAGGATAGTGCTGGTAATTCGCCTTGAGAAGCAATGCTTTTCAGCTTCTTTATTTTTGAGATTTTTTCGTTCTTGTGGAAAATTACTTCACTACTTACCCATAACGTAATGTATTTTCGTAACAGAACACTTCCAGCCAAGCAAATATTATGCAAAACTTATCTTTAGCAGGCACTCTTGTACGTACTATGTTTTTCTGGCTGACGTGTGTAAATAATATCTTGTAAGTTTTCGTTCTGTTCTGTGCTGTTTTGTGGTCTCAAGTTACCCATTGGGCGGTATTGTTTATCATTTTAACGATCTGCCTCCTCCATCTGTCACCATTCCCCGAACCGCACCAATCTCTTCTATTCTAATTGCCAGCTGCTTTGACACTTGTCAGTTATTCATTGTTTAAAACTGTTTTGCTTGTCCATAGACTTGGCTGATAAAGCTGCAATATATTTCAAATTAAATGCCATTTTTCTTTCTTTTTTTTTGTGTGTGAAAAAGCTGGAAATTTGATTTTCTTTGTGACAGAACAAAAAAATAATATTAATAAAAGCAAATTTTCAATTAAAATTGCAACACAAGCAACTTTGTTGTATTACGTGTCTAAATATAATTTTATATTGTTCAGGCGCACATAAAGTATAATGATATATATGATTATATATGAAT